TGGGCCATCCAGTCCACCCCTGCCAAGAAGCAGGAATATTGCATTCAAATCACCCCTGACAGATGGCCATCCAGCCTCTGTTTAAAAGCTTCCAAAGAAGGAGCCTCCACCACACTCTGGGGCAATGAGTTCCACTGCTGAACGGCTCTCACAGTCAGGAAGTTCTTCCTCATGTTCAGATGGAATCTCCTTTCTTGTAGTTTGAAGCCATTGTTCTGTTTTTCCTCCAGAATAGACATCCCAGGGATCCTTTCTCAATCGGTGTGGTATTTGGATAAGCCCACGCACTGCCTTTCCCTTAACCCTTCCCTACCCTTTCCTATGGCACACAGCAAACAGGAATTGATCAGCAACTGAACAAGAACTTTGGTGGAAACTGACCTTGATTTATAGGAGTTGCAGTCCACCTACATCCAGAGGGCACTGTGAACCCAACCAACGATGGATTTGGACCACACTTGCTATGCATGATGGGGTTTGAGGTACTTTCACTCACTTCCTGAGACCATTGCGACCCTCATGAATGATGGGCCTGGACCAAACTTGGTGCAGATTGGGAGAGGATGGACCAGGGATGATGGGAAATACAGTATCTTCACTCACTTCCAGAAACTACTGCAACCTGAAGAAATGATGCACCTGGACCAAATTCGACACACAGACTCCCTATGACACAGTTTCTGTCCTGGTGAAGGTTGGGGGAGGATGGATCACAGATGATGGGATTTGCAGTACCTTCACCCACTTCTACAGACCACTGTGACCCCCATAAATGACAAACCTGGAGCAAACGTGGGACACAAAACCCCTATGACCAACAGAACATACTGGAGAGGTTTGGAGAACTGACCCACCCGTGTGGGAAGTGTAGATCACCTTGCACCCAGAGCACTCTGAACCCTGTTGTTCATGAATCTGGACCAAACTTCAAACACGGAACCCTGGTGATCAACAGAACATACTGGAGGTGTTTGTGGGGGGACCGACCTACCCATGTGGGAGTTGTAGTTCATCCAGCGCATTCTGAACCCCACTAATGACAGACCCAACATGCCCAACTGTGAATACCAAGCAGAGTTTTGAGGTGATTGCCCTGGGAATCTAGGAGTTGTTGTTCACATGCATCCAGAGAGCACTGAACCCAACCGACATCTGGACCAAACTTGGCACTCAGACCCAACATGGCCAACTGTGCATATAGGTCTGGTTTGGGGAAGGTTTACCCATGATTCTGAGAATTGTAGTTCACCCACATCCTTCTGCATTTTCTAATGCGTGCATTCATAAAAAGCCAAATCAAAAACTAACTTACTAATTATCTACATGATATTACCTAACATCCCAAAACAAAACAAAAACCTTTGACTAATCCATGGATTCTTGGGGAATTTTCAAAGTTTTTATTTAAAAAAATTTTTTTTTGCTCATGCCTACTAAGCAAAGTTTATTGAATAGTCTATTGACCACATCAACATTAAAAACAAAAACAGACACGTGCACAAACAAACAACAATCACCATCCCAAGACCCCCACAACAGCGAACCAACACACATTAGGTTTAAAGATGACTAAAAATATTGAGGGATGAGGAGCTGACTCCACTCCCTGATCAAGTAAGTCAGAATGTGGGGGTTGAGGAAAAGGCAATATTGCAAGCTCCAAAACACATAGAGAACAGAATTGATTTAACATTGCTTTCTGAGCAATGTCTTCTAATGGCAAAGACACTTGAACTCCTGAGCTCCAAAGCAATAGAGATCCTGAATTTACTTACAAAGCAATCAGAGAAGCAATCACAGATACTAGAGGCCCTATGCAGTACTGGGAAGCAGCAACTCCCTGCAGCAAAGACTCCAGGAGGGAAAGCCAAAAATGGGGAAAACCCTTATCAGCCTATGGACACAAACGAACGGGCCCAGAAGGAACAAGGCAACCGTTTAATGATACAAAACTTTGTACTTGTATTAGATATTTACCCTTTTAATGGAGCACTGCCCATCTGGTAGGGCTGGGTAACAACGGAAAAA